TTTGATTTAATTATATTTGGTGGTTTTAAATTTTAGTTATTTTTAAAATATTACTATTTATAGAAGACTACAATAGTAATTACAAATTGCTATAGTAAAATTAGTTAAAAAGTTTATAATAACATTTTCGAGACGCTATAATAAAATATTACAATTGCATAATGAAAATCGCTATTAATAATTAAATATCAATAGCAAATTGGAAAAGCGCTATGAAATGTACGAGACCTATTATCGCGGGCGATGTTGGAGCGCTTTCTACAACGCTATGGTATCGTATGATAGCATTTTACGGGTGCTATTAAAACCCTTATTTCTTGTAGTGAAATATACTAGTGTACACATTTGGCCAAAGTAATTCACAGCAACACACTTGACTGCTCAAAGACACTGGGCTAAAGAGATTACTCGCTAAAAACCAAATAATACAGTAGAACATAGTAATAGCTAACGATCGATGAGATGTGAATGAAGACGGTGTCATGAACTCAACTCTACTAACTTCCATTAGTTCAGCGTTTCTGACCTGTGTTTTTAATAAGAAAGCAAACCATGTTAAAAATATGTAAAACACTAAGAGACTGATTTGAATCAGATTGAAATTAGAAACAAAGAGTAAAGTCTAAATAAAATAGGCTGTTGAGGCTTCAAAAGTAATAAAAATCACAAAAGTCCAATTAGTTAAATATCACAAACTTGAAAAGGTCCAAAATTTATGTAATCTAGTAACAAACTTGAAAGGATCTGGACTTAAAAACAACTTCAAATGGTAGATAAAAATAGAACACTAAATTAATAGATTATATGTGAATTGAACAAAAAAAATCTTTGATTTAACACCCTAAGAAAAAAAATCTGGATACATCTTTATTCTTAATTAAACACCTTAATACATATACCAAAATTTTTCCAAGCTTAACTTTTGAATCTAAATCAGGAAAACGAGATATGAACGATTTTGGCAAATTAATAATAGATTACCAGAAAACCTGATTCATCAGAGTTAAATGGCTATACAACAATGGAACATGTGTAATGACAACAACAACAATAACAAGACGGATTAAAAATATTTACTATACCTAAACCGTCATGTTTAAATTAGTGAGTAAAATTTTAATATTTTTATCACAAATATATTTCACAAAATGTATTACAAATCATTTAAACTTTACTTGATATCATAATATTTCAAAGTGCGGATATTATTATTTTTTAACTCTATAAAAAATTGATAGTTAACGGATTATGTGTTTTTGTATGAGATAACCTATTACGTTTATGATTTGTGGAAATTTGTTTTTCATTGTAATTTATAAAACAACAAAGATATTCATTTAATATAGATTTCTATACTTTTTAAATGTAGATTTAATATTTAACAATTATTTTATTGATTAAAAAAAAATTAAAGTATTCTTAGGAATATCACTATATAATTAGAAAGTTTCTGATATATTTTGTAATCAAAACATAAATTTGCTAAGATAATGATTTACATTATCTCTTCATATCCTTCTTTACTGTCTTTTTTGTAAACGTCATCCGTTTGGTTCAGACAGTGTTATAAAAAAAATGATTTACATTAATAAAATTGTCCTAAATCTAACCTAGAAAATAAATATGAAATGTGAAGATAATGAATTAACGTGAGATTAATAACAAAAAAAAAGATAACTGTCAAAGATAAAAAATAAAAGAAAATGAAGAATGGGGAAATCATATGTGGTTTCAAAAGAGGAATCATTATTATAGATCATCTACACATAAACCAAAATTAGAATAAGAAAAAAAAATTATGTGTATATATATATTAACATTATAAAATAAAATAAATTTACGAAATCCAAAGCATAAAAAATAACATTATAAATATCCATTGACTTCGTTTCTCTGATGTTAATGTCTTATATATAGTAAATTGGTAAACGTTTCTACACGACATAGCTTTCACGAGAAAGTTTGAAATAAAATATTCTTTAATAAATTTTCAAAAATATTATAATTATAAGGTAAGATTATTTTTGGAGCATCTTGTTGGTAAAGGTAAAGAAGAATAATTCTTGACTGGATTGTACCAGAATTTTGGTTGGCAGATTTCACTATAAAAATAAAATATTAAATACATGAAATTATGAGAGAAGATATCTCGTCAGTTGATTTTGCAACAATTTTTTGAATCACATGTTATATAACAAATATTTAAATGTAAAATATATATTAGATAAAAATATAAATATTTAACAAATAAACATTGGTTCTTGTTTATTTGTTGTTTACATTATACTACTATTAAATTGAAAATAGAAATCAAGAAAACTTACCAATATAATCCAGTGTTTGAAGGTTGATATTAAATAGTTTGGGTTCTTGTAGCGACTATTTTTTCCATAGCTATTACAATGAAATAAATATGTGACATTAAAATGATCATGATTAGATCTAACCTAGAAAATAAATATGAAATGTGAAGATAATGAATTTACCTTAGATTTATAGAGAAGACAAATGTTTAGTTCGTCCAAAAAAAAGAAGACAAATGTTTAGTTCAAAGGAAAAAACTAAAGAAAACGAAGATGCTCAAATCATAACCTAAAGGTTACAGAAGTTTGATTTCTTTTACAAAATGTTGTAGTTTTTATACCCTACAAAACAAAGAAAAGTTCAATAAGACATTGATTAGAAAATGAATTTTTAAAAAAATCAAACTTCTGTAACTTACATTTTCGTCAGCGATGACCAACTTTAATGTGTCGCCTCTATAACTGGTGTTTTATTTCCAACTATGAAGAACCTTAACGCAGATTTTGTCAATTATCTCTGTAAGGTTTAACACCGTTAAGGAATACAAAAGTGTTTGGTTTTGTCATTTTTTTTATTGGAGGTGATAGTGAATGTCGAATGATGAGTATGAGAAGAACTATATATACGCCTCATATTTAGGTAGGGCGTCAAAATAAATATA